CAGCTGCAGCAGCAGCAGCATCAACAACAACAACAACAACAACAACAACAACAACAACGACAACAACAAAACAAATAACAACAGCAGCAACAGAACTTGAGTCTTATCATGCACATGGAATGGACTAACAGATATTCAATTTCTCGTCAAAAACAGAGTTTGAAGCCCTGCACGTTAATCAGATTAATTTTTGATACGCTGTAATTACATGTATTGAGAAGAGATTCGGAGTTAAGTTATGCGCTCGTTTAATACAATTTGAGAGAGCAGTGTAATAGTTCTGACACTGCAAAATGACCCCCCCCCCCAAAGAAAAAAATTAAAAGAATATTATGTAATTATTCCTAGGTTAGCCTGCAACACCCTTCAAACCTGCCCTAATTTAGGGTCTTATTCATATATATTCCATTTATTCTCCTGGAACACGTTAATTAACCGATCTTTTGCGTGAAGTATGATAGTGAAAGATTCCATTTAAATAAAGCCTGCATTTTGGAGGTGTACATCTTTATCATGATTTTGAAAGTTAGTTTAATTTATTTTAAAATTATTTTTAAAATTTTTAATGAGAATATTTTAATATCCACTTTATGTGGTCGATGCTGAGACCAGTAGACTGAATCGATGCACGGACATTCACCGGAATAACTCAAGTCCAGCTACTCTGATAAAATTCGTTTGTTGCTAAAACGCGCCCGCTGACTGCTGGCTGGTGTGAAAGCCTTGGAAGATTTGAGAGGAGTTTCCGAGAAAAAAAAACGAACCCGATACGTTTTAGTGCTTTTGCAGATATTGTGTTAACATTTCACCTTGTTTATTTGTATCCTTTTAGATGTAAAAGGAAAAGTAATACTGGCCTTTATGTCTTCTCCAGATTCCCAAACTCCGGCAGTCAATGAGTCCAATGCTAATGATAAACCAGCACTGAAAGAAAGAGAAGCGAAGAAAAGAAAACTTAGTGGTGATGAGAGTGAAATGCTAGCAAGTTCATCCAGCAACATGTCAGCATTTAAAGAATTCAAACTGATAAAAGTGTTGCGAGAAGATGACCGGCATAAGCTCATCAATCTTCATGGTTCTTTGCCACTGAAAAAGAGTGATGATGACTCTGGCTCTGGGCCTGTGGACTCAAATTCAGAAGAATCAGATGCTGTTGTGGTGTTAGAAAGAAAACCTTTTGACCCCACAAGTATTGAAGAGTGTATTCGGCAAACCAAGACTAAAGAAACTCTTCACAATGATATATACAGCACTTTTGAAATATTCTCAACTCCAAATAAAGCAGGTAATTTGTCTTCATGATGTCTACTGTAGGGCCTATATTTGTAGCCTCCTCTATATGGCCTAGGGTAGATTGTCTAACTCAGACTTCGACCGTGTTCAAACTCCGACCGAAATCGAAACCTGTCTTCATTCGACTATAATAAAGTCAGATTTGGTTGCTTTTGCATTTTAAAAAATGAAGTGACTATTCGGACTCGTCCGAATATGAAAAAATGTTATTCGGGCTCTGATTCTTGTCCAGCATGACATCACTTCCGACTTCCTGTGACTCGTGACTCCGGCTTCCTGTCCTGCCTCACTCGTGACTCGCCTCAGGCTGGGTAGAGACCGGGATCACTTCGGGCAAAATGGCGTTAAATTGTGCAGGAGCCGAGTTTTTATTTTATGATGAATTTGAGTCCGGCCTGAAAAGTTACAGCGCTTCTAATAAATAGATGTTTATTTGTCAAGAGGTCATCAGAAGCAATTAAAGATGGCTCGTTAGCGTGTGTCGGGGTCGGATGGGCGGCCTGCACACGTGTGGCTGTGTGTGCGTGTCGGGGAGGGGGGGGGGCACTACCGGTCCGGGTGTTGAACGTCGCATACGCGTCAGTCTCTCTCCCCCCCCCCCCCGACAACTGATCATTATTACAATAATAAGGCTAGTCTTGACATAGATCTACGTATGAATTGTGCGCTGGTCTATGGAATCAAAAGTTGCCGTATGCTCAGCTCTACACAGCAACACAACTTTTTCTTGGTAAACAATCAAGATGACACAGGCTTGTGTATTTGAACGAATCGGTCTTTTTTTTTTTTACACAGCTCATAATATGCAGGTGCCAGGTGGTCTGCTAATCTTCAATTTTACCTTTTTCTACAACAAAGAAAGTGGGAAACATGGGGGGTGGGGGGCGTATCAATGAGGCGGCGGGCATTGGATCGGCAGAAAAGGTGTGGGGGAAACTAAAAAATGGTGGAAAATTGGAAGCACTGAACGATAGATCTATAGAACGAATACACTTCCTTTTTTTCCGGACCCGAGTCCGAATAACATTTTTCCACGAGTCCGAATAAGATTTTTTTTTATTCGGATCGAGTCCGAATATGGAAAAATGTTATTCGGACTCGAGTCCGAATAATGACGGCCTTAAAAAAATCTGGCAATGGCAGGGGAACAAACTTCTGCAAGCTTTTGAACCAATCAAAACATCCTGGTGGTGCGTTCTTCTTAGAGGCGGCAACTCCAAAATGAAGGTTCTTTGGAGGAGTGCTCGATTTTGGTGTATTTTTCTCTATTTTTTTTGTTCTGGCCTTTTTGGCTAGGTCTGGGGAAATGGCAAAAAGGTGAGTATCATCATGTCATGTAAACTTATGTGGATAATAATCAGCACATAACTTATTTTATACAGGTACTGGTTATGAAATATAACCATTTTATGGGCTTATGATTATGGGATTGTGTGCTAACTTTTGCCTTTTATACTCAAAATAAAATTAAAGTGGTTGGAGTTAAAACAATAGATTTTTAAGGTGGTTTTAACTCCGACCACATCTGGGTAGTTTGGGCCTCGGCGAGGCTAGACTGGAGGCTACGTTATTCTATGCCTAGATTCTCAATTTCTTGACCACACTTTGATGATTATGATGATACTGCTGATGATGATGATGATAAATGTTGGTGGAAGTGAGGCTGTTGCTGTAATGATGATGTTGATGGTGGTGGGTGGAGTGTTGGTGCTGATGAGGGGTGGTAATGATTGATGATGATGTGGTGGTTGTGGCGGTGGTGGCAGTCGAGATGGTGGTGGTGGTTGTGTTAAAAAGTTTGTGTGGTGATAATGTGTGATGGCGTTTACCCCTTTAAAATTCAACTTAGACCTACCTAGGTTTCTTCCTTTTGCAGATCAACCGTAACTAGGTCTAAACCAACGAAACCAAAACGTCCATACCAGGAGTATCTGCAGCCACCCAACAAGAGGCTGTGAAGGCAGTAAAGTCCGGTTAGTCATTTGGAAAGGCATCTCTAAACGTGAATGGGAAAATTCAGTTCAAACATGGCAGGAAGTGTGATTTGCCCTTTGAAATCGAAAGGAGCATTGTGGATGGGACGCTTTGCGCTCAAAAAGCTGGTTTCCCGTACACAAAGAGAAAATTTCTCGCCATGTTGGGACTCTTAGTACGACGCTTAAAAATCTGACGGCCCGAATTAAAAATGGAGTGCCAACAAATAACTACTGGCAGAGCCTTGTCAAGCGTTACCCTGAACTAACCTTGAGACTTGCGAAAGCTCTACCTCAAACACGAATTGCGATGCTCTACAAGGAGGTCGTTGGAAATTATTTCGATGACGTAGAGGCTCTGATAGCTAGGCTCGGTCTGCAAGAGAAGCCACAAAATGTACGGAATTGTGATGAAACAGGCATAGCTTTTGCTCACAGGCCAATAAAAGTAATTGCAGCCAAAGGGATTCGCAGTGTATCTGCACAAACGTCACAGACCCGTGATAAGATCACAGTTTTTGTCACGGCCCATGCAGCTGGTCAGCTGTGCACCGGATGCTCATAGTTAAGGGGAAGACTCAAAGATCTGTCGACAGCAATAGAGTCGAAGATGCGCCAAAAGATACAGTATGGACGTTTTAAGTGGGTGGATGGATGAACTGCTGGGTTTCCTGTGGTTCACCAAAGTTTTTCTCAAACATTGCGGGCCTGAAAGGCCACAGTCGTTACTCCTCGACAGCCACAGTTCTCATGAAGTGGTCGAGATGCTGGAAAAGGCCAGGGATGAAAATATACACATCATGGCCTTACCCCTGCGCACGATTCACCGCCTTCCGCCCCTTGACAGGTTTGTGTTTAGGCAGTTCAAGGTTCGATATATACCACCATCTGCACTGATTTCATGAGTCTTCATCCGCATAATCTGATCAATGAAGCCAGCAGGACCAAACTCTTCACCCAGACATGGATGGACACCATGATACCCAACACCCTCAAAAAAGCCTTTAAAGCTACAGGGATCTACCCCTTGACAAAACCGTCTTGCAAGACATTGACGACAATCCAGCTGAGGCTCTTGACAGGCAAGTCGCCCCAGTCACACCTGACACAGCAGATCTTCTCTAAGTTTCTGTGAAGGATGACACAGCTGACATGCCCCCTGCCACAATCCAGGGTTGGTGATTTTTTTTTTTTTTTAAACCAACAATTTAAAAAATCAATTTTTGTAAATTTAAATCAGATTTTAAAAATTTAAATTGGATTTTTAAAATTGGATTTTTTAAAAATAAATGTCGACACAGTTTGGAATTTTAAGTGGCTAAAAGTATGTTCTTTTAGAGCAAAATGCATTGTCTTTATTTATTTTAAGTAATGATTAATTTAAGCAACTTCAAAAGAAAGCCTTAATCTGCAATATCAGTGAAGTATTCATGGCTACAGACTAAAAAATGAAGAAAATGTCAGTCTAAAAGGAAGTGGGGTAATTATGCATAGATAAACTTGCATTTTATTACAGCCTGTGTGTGTTTGCCGCGCTTGTGTTTGTCTTTTTTTTTTTTTATGCTAATTTCAATCATGAAAAAAAAGTAAATTGAATACTGTATTATTGTGTTTATTTTCAAAACCTTCAACCCCAAACAACTCAATGGATAATTTCAATATGATCTTAATTGTTGGTTATTGTAATACTGTTAAATTAATATCATATGAAAGTAGTGATTTACTATCAAAATTCGTTCAGTTGCCATTTTGTTCCTTGCAATAATATCTGAATTATTATTTTTGATACATTGTTTGTGATTTATATGTTAAGGTTTTTATTCTCCTCAGTCACTATTGTTTTGATCTGACATTCAATAAATCATTACGTTTACAGTTTATAAATCTAGACATTTCCTTAGTCTGAGTGTGGGTGTGTTTGTGTGTGTGTGTGTGTGTGCGCGCGCGCGCTTGTGTTTGTCTAATTTTAAAAAATTGTTAATTTCAATTATGAAAAAAAAAGTAAATTGAATAATGTATTATTTTACAGTGACAGGGGAGAAAAGCAGATTATATTAGTCTACTAAACCTTGTATTTGTTTTATAAAACCAAGGAAAGGCATTCTGGATGTTTAAATATATAAAAACTGAATAAATATTTATTTTTAAAAAAGTGATTTAAATCACAATCACAACTGAAAACCCCCGTGCCACAGACCTGGATTTCAGTATTCAAGAACTGACGCTGTGACGGTGGTCGATGATGTCACCGAGTTTGCAGCCCTCCCCCTGGGGACTACAGATTCCCATTTGAATTGCCAGAGGGACTTTGGGAAGTTGTGAATTGTCCTCACACTGCGCTCTGTCCGGAAACTAAACAAGACTTGTTGTCTCCAGCACTGGAGTTAAGTGGTATTTCTGAGAGTGGTGAGGCTGATAAACCTATGGAAGAGATCCATGGGAGTACACTTACACCTGGCACCTGGTGTGACTTGGTTAGAGGAAGGAAACCAGCCGACGCCTAAAATGGGAAGTGATGAAGGTGCCATGAAGTCAAGCCTAAATGAACCCAAGGAGGAAATGTCAATGGCCACTTCAGAGACCCACACTGAAGCGTGCTGGAATACAACTTTAACAGAGCTGATCAGTATTCCAATGTCTCAACCAAACACTTTGACTCCCAAGTCATCATGTCGAATAACTTCTCATAGTCTTTTGACATCAGATGAAGTTATCTCTCTCAAACAAGAACAAAAAAGAATTAAAGAAGCAAAGGAAGAAGGCAAACTGAAATGAAAACTTGAAAGAGAATTTTAAAAAGCCAATTAACAAGCAGCAACAAACAAGACACAGGCAAAAAAGAGAATACAAAACACTTAATTAATTGATTAATCATATCACATTTTGTTTATTCACATTCCTGACCTCATACTCATGCTTTCAGTCAAAGTCAAAATTCATGTTAGTCACTGAACAGAGGGTCACTGAGTTTGTATCCAGTTTAATTGAATGTGAAGAAAAAAGAATTGTATTATACTTGCAAAAGTAAACATTGAACTTTTAAAAAATGTTTTTTTCTTCATATATAATGTTTGTCTTACATGTTTGTCTTGTACTGGTGTTTTTGTTGTTGCTGGTGGTGATGAAGATAAAATGATGATGATGACGACAATGATAATGATGATGATGATGACAAAAATGTTGCTTTCAATGGTAGCAGTAGTAGTAGTAGTGATTTTGGTGCTGCTGCTGGTGGTGGTGGTGGTGGAGAAGCTGAAAAAGACAGTTTAGGCCTAGCCTAGGGGCTCTACACCATTAGGGGGGAAATGGGTCAAAGTTAGAACCATTGTAGACGAAGTTACAACACTGCGTTCGGATTTAAAACATGTGGTCGGTGTTAGAACATTGTACAGGTCGGAGTTAGAGCAACCGTGGTTGGAGTTAGACAGACTGGTGTGTGTTCCTTTTTTAAACTTTTTATGAACGAACCTCATAGACCATTACCATGTGATTGCACATAGCCAATGAGAAGACCATTAGAGGTTGGGTTATGGTGGCCTGACCTCAATTCGATCGACTGATATAAAATTGGAAGCAAGAAAGCGATGAGGGAACCGAAATCGGTCAGAGCTAAGACTATCTTCCCTTAACCATAGCTTTCTAGCTGTAATAGATGATTACAAATTTTACAAGTAGTAATTGGGTTTCTTAAAATGAGTCTGTCTAATGAGCAATGCAGTAGACAGAGATCTTTTTTAAAAAGTTTTTGCACACTGTAAGGCGCTCTGAATACAGCTGAGGTAACTACTTTTTTCGTTATATTGCTGAAACTGAAAGTAATATAATATACAAAAACGCTCTTCTTGCTGGCGCCCATGAGTTCCTGCCATGACAGCTAAGGCAATCCCCTGTCATGTAAAGAGCCTTTCAAAAGAAAAACCTTTGACGGTTTAGTTTGAGAAACCCATGCTTTGCCACATTTTTCTGAAAACTTTTTTTTTTCATAAATCCCTTACTGCAGATCTTTCACCGTCACATCTTTTCGATGTGAGGATTGGACTCTACATTTAAAGTTACAGTCCAATCCTTGCATCGAAAAGATATGTGATGGAGAAAGATCTGTGGTCACGGAAAAGCAAAAAAATTGATTTTAGAAAAATGAGGCATACAGGTTTCTTGCACTGAATTGTTGAGATGTGATACAGCTAGGAATTGAACACCTATGGCGACGAGTTTCCCTTTCTTCTTTAGAAATATATATGAAATGTAGACTTGCAATAGCTGAGGAATAGAGAAAGTTGTTTTGGAAGAAAAGGAAGAGAAACTCCTGTGATGATGTAATTGCCGTAACTCAAACAAAGTCTTGAAGGGAAGAGCTCATTTCTATAAAAGAGCTTCTTACCGCCATCAAGCAAACCATTCTTCCACTAAGAAATTTACATTTTGTTTCAAATTACAAACAGTTGGAAATTTTACTTTTAGTTTTGTTCATATTCTTGTTGATGTCAAGAAGTGAAATGCTTACATTTTAAATTAGTTCCATAATCCAGTGTGGATATGATTCAGTCTTCCAGTCATGATCACTTCTTAAATTTTAAGGTAACAAGAAGGTCTATTTTGGCGGGAGTAAATTTAATTTTTAAAATTATGACTAACTGGGAGTGGGAGCACAATATTCTACCTTTTAACACTTTGCCTCCACGGGACGGCGATCGGCGACGGTAAGAATTAAGAAGCCGTACCTTTTCCCCACGGGATGCTGATCGACGCCGATGTGATATAGCGTGTACCGCACCTGTATACCTGGTCTGTGGGGATAAGTTTTGCGAGCTCTGCGCACTCTGTGGGTGGAAAGTGTTGAAGTAATTTGACTTTTAGTGGTTTTATTTTTTAATGCCCCTCTAATATTTGATAATAATAATGATGATGTAATAATGATAAGATTATAAAGATTTTGGTTTTATATATTTCCCCCACAGATATGAGAGCAACCTTAATATTTCCTGCAACAGAAAAGCATATATCAAAATATTCTGAACACCAACCCTTTATTGTCAACGAGACTCCTGACCTGTACAGGGATGTCACATTGCCATGCATAGAAGCCAGCAAGTTTAGCATTCAGGTAAAAGAGCTTTTGATGTCAACTCAGAACTACTTACCTTACCTGGGTGAAGTTTATAGTCTACCACATCATGTACTGATGTTGATGGACAACTTTCATTTCCTTGGTGGGGTTTTCATTTTCCTTCCAATGCTGTTTTAGAACTTTAACGCAACTCTGTTATGCTATGACTGTTATGACAGACTGAGAAATTAAAAGATCTTTGTCCTTCTATTCACTCGTAACAGCTCTGATAAAGTTCTAAATTAATCACTTTTTATAGCATAAAAGACTCTGGTCGTAGGTTTAACACCCTTTTCAACACTGTTAGGTTATTTAAATGGCGGGACCTCCGAATTTAATGACCATCTCAGATATGACTGAGCTGAATTGGCAGAGAACCTTGAAAACTCCCCAGAAAACCCTATTGAGGATTCAAACCAGGACCATCCGCTCCGCAGTCCAACATGGTACCAACTGAGCTAATAGTGTGCCTCTCGTCCAGAGACTAGGATCAGGGTGTATTATACCAGAGCACCTTTGAGAAAGGCATATTTGGTTGTAGAACATCCAGACTGATACAATCCAACCAATTAAAATGCAGTGTCAAATCATGATACTCAATTTCCTAAATAAAATAGCTACTACGCTGGGTGTCTTGGGTCGTTTATTCTAAGTATTGTTACATTGGTAACCTGACAGTTAGACCACTGGAGTGGCAACTAAAGTAATGGGTTTGATTCCTAGTGAAGACATTGTGTCCTTGGGAAACACACTTTGCACATGTTTTCTCACTTCCTTAAGGTGAATATAATATGGGTGTCTGGCTAAGACAAAATGGGAGGTCTTATCAGTACATTTTGAGGGTCTGTGAAATAGCAGATGGCACTGAATACCTTCAAGGACGCTGAGAGTGTTGGAAAATGTTATACAATTGGACAGGGGTAACATTAATGAACTGTGCAGTGCAGAGAGCCTTATTTTGCATAGAGGTACATTTTTATATGCTTTTTACTTATGCAATCTATCTGCTGTTATTATTGTATTGAGTGAAACTTTTGGCTCATAGTCACTTGTTTTAGGTACCGTACACTATGTTTCCTTTCTGTTGTTTGAACTTAAAGTACTGCTGAGCCCTTGAAAATTAGTGAGGTATGGAATTGTCTCACTCCTGGAACTGTAGAATGTTCATTTTGTTAAGTAGAAGGTTAATGCCCATTTGCAATGCTGCTGTAAAAGTTTAAACAGACAAGGCCTGAGATTTACCCAGTAGATAAACTGAGACAAGTGAATGGAGAGTCTTGAAAACTCTGATTCTGCCAACATATCATGTTCAAGTAGGCAATGCTGCCTCAGGAAGTAAGGCAGAGCAGCTGCGTAACAAAGAAAGTGTTGGATTGGAATCCTCAGAGTAAGAGATCAAGGGGAAGGCCACATGGAACCTGGAGAAAAGTCGCAGAGGATAATGTACGGAAAAGTAGGAAGGCATGGAATCGTATCAAGAACCTAGCCCAGGGTAGGGATAGGTGGAAAATGTTTGTTTGTGGCCTATACCCTGATGCATAGGAGAAAGGCAGTGATAATGATATTCTTGGGGATTTGAACCAGGGCTTTTTACACTGTTGTCCAGCATGAAGCAAACTGAACATATCAACTGCCTGTACATTACTTGCTGGTAGTGTTATCAGTCCACTGTTGTTTCATATGATTGATTTTTTTATTTCTAATGTTCTGTGGGATTTTGTTCACCACCAACTTTGCCTTTTTCAATTACTGTTTAGTGGGTCTACAACATTTTGGACAAGACCAAGGAGGCTGATCGCATTGTGACCGAGGATTCCGACCCCGAGACTGGCTTTGTGTTGATCCCAGACTTGAAATGGGATCGGCAGAAAATGGAGTCTCTTTACTTGGTCGCCATTGTCCACAAGCGAGGCTTGCGTTCTCTTCGAGATCTCACTGCAGAACACCTGCCATTGTTGAAAAATGTGCTTCAGAAAGGACAGGTATGTTTTAATTGAGTGTGTGTGGGTGTGTGTGTAACAGGTTCGTGGAGAGGGTCAATAATTAAGCAGCGTAAACATGGCCTCTCTGGCACTCGCGGCCTTCCAAGCACGTGGTATCGGTGAAATCGTGGTAATTCAGATTGCTGTTTCTTTGCTCTTTCGTTATAAAACACCAAATGCTGTACACCGTGTAAAAGTTCAGCTGTTCCTCGTTTCGTTGGTGTAAGTTGTTTATATGTGCGATTATTAGGAACTGGAAAATCGCAGAGGAAAGCGAAGCCCCTCGCTGTCGGAATGCGTGGTCGGCCGGTTAAAAAAAATGACATGCATGCTTTCAAATGCTTCGCGGAAGGATTGATGATTAAATATACCCATTTCATTGGCGGAGAACTGTAGAGCTTTGGACGAGCTTTTCCGTGGTATATTTTTGGCCTTTAACATATAAATAGAAAGCCTTTAAAAATACCGTCAAAGTTTTCAAATATCTTTTTTTACCCGAAATTTGTAAAATGCCGGCTCAAAGAGGAAACAAATAGAAAGATCAGTTCATTTTCTATTAGAATAAAGTAATCAGCTTGGAATTATTTTTCATCAATCCTTCCGCAACACTCGGAATGCGTGTGACCCCCCCACGCGGGGAGCTCTCGGTGCACTACAGGGCCAGTGAGGCGCCGGCCGAGTCAACACTCGGTGTTTTTGTCGAAATAATGACAGATCGTCGTGTTTGCTGTGATAAATACTGATTTGTAATAATCTTAGTCTTGAGAAAAATTAGGCTCCATATAATCTATGTTATAGTGATTGTACTCTGTTCATGTGGAGATGTTTGGTGCACTTGGTACTCTTTTATTATCTGTCAAACATGGGGTTGCAGCCAGTGAGCGACTTAAACAAATTTGATCAAATTTTAAATAGCTACCATTTTCTAAAAAATTGACTGAGATGTTAAAGAATGGTACCAAATTTCTCAGAAGATATAGGCCTTTCATATGGAACAGCTACATTTGGCCTGCAGCTTCTTTGAAAATTTAGTTTCTGGTACCTACAATAATGTCTGGTGTAAATAAATTTTCATTGTGTTTTTTATTTTGTGTTGTACTGTATGCTTCCCAGGAAGTTGAGATTGTTTCAAAATGCTGTTATGTTTGCTGGGGTAATAGATTGTAAAATGCAAAAAGCTTGCTGCTGAGTTGGAATTTGCACTGCTACACAAATGTCATTTTTTATTATTATTAATGGCTCAATATGGACACTGGGAGGTGGGAGACACTGGCGTGTAATCGCGACAAATGGAGACAGGCGCTGCGAGCTGGTCTCATCAGAGGTGAAGGCCGACTACGACAGGCTGCTGAGGACAAACACCGTCGTTGAAAGAACAGCCAGAGGCTACCAACGCAGAAAGACACCACTCACAAGTGCAGCCACCGCAACACGGACTGCCATTCCCGTGTGGGCCTGTTCAGCCACAGCAAGCGCTGCTCTCAAACCGTTAATCTCCTGCAGCGCAGATCCATAGTCTCCTGAGACTGAAGGATGCCATTCATTATTATTATTATTATTATAGCCTAATTATTGTTTAGTCTTTTTAAAATCAAACCAAGTCCTAATGACAATTTTCACTATGACTTTCGCGCTAGGGATCTTTAGCCTTTAGTCAAGACCAGATTTTTTTCTGTGCTTGTGGGTATGCCAAGTGGCCTACCATTTGTATTCTTTCTTTATCAATTCTTGTTATATTTCTCTAGCTTCTGGCCCTTGAGCATCTTATTTGTACTGTTTTTCTTTTTTCAAAACATGCTGTTTCATTTTCCCCAGGCTGCAATAAAGGAGCAGTTTGGTGTTGGCTCGGACAAGCTCCGGATCTACTTCCATTATCAGCCGTCATACTACCATCTGCACATCCACTTCTCGCACATCAGGTTCGATGCCCCGGGCACCGATGTGATGAGGGCACACTTGCTGTCGGATGTGATAGACAACCTGAGCATCAACCCCGACTTCTACAAGAAGAAAACCCTGTCCTACGTGGTGCGAGACAGCGACCAGCTGTACGAGGCATATGAAGATAATGGCTACTTTCAGTAGAGGTCGGAGTATGCATCATGTTGCAGTTGTTGTTTTTTTATTGTTTTGTTCTTTCTTGGATTTTGTGAAGCTAGATTCTGCCACTGATGAAAATGAAGAAGATGCAATTTTCTTGATTGTAACATGTTGATACAGACCTAGTTCGTGTAAAAAAAATTGTTGTTCGAGATGGATGATTGATTCTTAAAAGTTGGCCCTACTTTGATCTTTTGCTTTTACTTAACCCTTTCATTGCTAGGGTGTATGTGTTCCAAGTTCCTACTGTCTGCACTGATTCCCCTGTTAAGCTGGTTGGCCAGGACAGTAGTCTCATGTCTCAGTGTCAGTGGAGTCGCGGTCTGGATCCAGCCCACTTGTGACATATTTCGGACCCCAGGCCTTCAATAGTGTCACTTTCCTCATTCCAAACATTCCCTAGCTTACTCATAATTTTGAAAAACTTGCAAAAAGTGAAATTTTCTGCCTTCTTGAAAGACATTTTGGTGTTAACATTTTGCAAGAGCACTCAGTTGTCTGCAATACTAGACTTTTGTGTATCGATTGCTTCTCAGGCCTAGCAGTAAACTGATACTAGCAAATTTGGTACCGATAGGCGCCTGTTTTATTCCCAAAAATGAATCAACACTGTGCTTGTGGCTAAATCTCCGTACAGAAGAATTAGAGCCAGATAATTAGCGAGATGTACAGGTAATGTCAAATAGGCAACCAAGAATGGCAAACTTTGCCAACTTTCGTTGCGTCCATGGTACAACACAAGGCTAGAAATTAGAAATTATGCATTTCATGATGTACCAGGTACGTCATAAGGCAGTAAAATGGTTAAATGAACTCTGATAAAGGTGTTTTCAGAGATGTAATGATTCTTTTTATCAGTGCCATGAGCCTTTTTGTGTTGGTTTGATGTTTTTCTGCGTCCCTTGATATCATATGAAGCAAATTCCACCACATTTTAAAGTATAATTTAAGAAGTTTACGTTGTTAGTGTCATCATCATCATCATCATCATCATCAATGCCTTTCACCCCTGGCAGGGTATAGGCCACATACAAGCTCCTTCCATTTATATCTGTCCTGGGCCATCCTTCCTAGCTTGTTCCAAGTGAGCTTCATTTCTCTCATGTCCCTTTCCACACATCTCCTCCATGTTTCCCGTGGCCTACCCCTGCCTCGTGCTCCCTGTGGGTTCCATTGCAGTTACTGTCTTGTGATGTTTCCGCTGAGCTTTCTGAAAATGTGTCCCATCTACTTCTATATCCTTTTGTCCTGTCCTCTCCCGCAGCTCTTCATTTCTTATTCTATCCTGCCACTTAATGAATTAAAGAGTCGAATCTTGGTGCGCAGTGAGATGTTGTTTGCTTTCCAGACTTTTGATAATTGCTTGAATGCTGACCTTGCCTTGGCGGTTCTTGCTTTTACATCTGCCTCAGTTCCACCCTTACCATCGATGACACTTCCAAGGTAGGTAAAGGAGTCCACTTCTTCTAGGGGAGTGTCTTCCATTGTCACAGCAGGGCTTGACACTTTTCTTTGCTTCACTACTTTTGACTTGCCTTGATGTATAGGTAGGGCAACACTCCTTAATAGGCTGTTGAGTCCATTTATGTATTTTGTGAATTGCAATGTATATATTATTTTATTCTCATTTCGTGACGATGTGTAATCGTGTGCCTGTGATAAGCAAGTAGATGTGTGTGTGTGTACGTGTGTGTGTGTGTGTGTGTGAGTGTGTGTTTGTGTGTGTTTGGCATACATGTGTGCGTGTTATGTATTCGTGAGTGTGTATGCGTGTGTTTGTGTGTGTGTATATGTATATGTGTGTGTGTTTGTGTGTATATGAGTGTGTGTGTGTGTGTGTCGCGTGCATGAATATTTTTCTTACATGCATTTATGTAAAGCGCCTAGAGCTGTGTTTACACGGGAGTGGGCGCTATAGAAATGATCTTCATTATTATTATTATTATTATTATTGAGTTCCTTGGTCTTTTCTTGCATCTGAGCACATGTGTGAGAGAGCAGTGCAAGGTCATAGGCACAGTCCAAGTCGTCCAGCTGCTGCCAAGGGATCCACTGTATTCCATTGTGCTTTCTTATGGTGGCTTCTTTCATGTCCCAGTCAATTGCCAGTATGAAGAGAAACGGTGAGAGCAAGCAAGCATCCTTGTCGCACTCCTGTCTACCTGGAATGGTTATGAGAGTTGTCCTTCATGGAAGACTTGGCTGTTTGTTCCATCATAGGTGGCCTTCACAAGCTTGCATCTGAGCATGTGTGCGAGAGAGCTGTTGTTAGTATGGATCAAGTGAAAAATCGTTCTTGTAGTAATAGAAAAACTAATTGGTTTGACTCAAGTGACTGTCGAGCAGCAGTTGATAAATTCTGCAACTGAAAACAATGTCCATAAAGAAATGATGGTCAGTGAAATCTTTGGAACATCAGGTTATTTGATCCTTTTTCCATTTTTGCGCTTGTTTTGCATTATATGTATTATATATTAAATCTACTGAGATTGAAAAAAAAAAAAAACACTTTCACAATGAACAAACCTTTCTACCATTTTGAGATATGTAGTACAATTAGTATGTCCTCAATTGAGGATTATTTAGAAGTAAAATCAAAGATGTGAGGGCCTTACACTTCAAATTTAACTGCCCTCTCTGTCCACTTTGTCTGAGTACTTTAGGTTACACATAATAATACACAGCTATTGGGAAAAATATGCTTTTTGACCAAGCTTTATACAGTGAGTTAAGTATTTGGAGCTGCTTTTTCTTTCTATTCAGGTGGGGGGGAAAAGCAAGGAGTTGTCTGGAAGAATTGATACCCTTGAGCACACCCGTAAATCAACGGTGGATGGGCATTTCTGTGTGTATGCCATCTTCACCTGGGGATTATCCTTCTGGGATGTTTCTAATTCTAATTGCGAGCTCTACCTTTGACTTCAGAATGTTGGGACCATTGTTGTTGCTTGGTTGTGGCAGGGGTGCTCTTTTATCTTCAAATAATTCTCCTACATATTCTGCCCATCTTCCTAGGACTTCTTTTTTCTCAAACAACATAATTGTCTTTTTTGTCTTTAACGCCTCCTGACAATCAATGACATAGCTCAAACTGCCAGCTCACCTGATTTTGAAATTACCAGTATACAATGGTGTCTCATTTCTTTTGCTCGTATTTTATGTTATGGGCTTGTGTTTCTAAACAAAAATACAGATTGTATGCTGCTAATTGCTTGGTTGTTCATTTTGTTTACTGTGTCTGTAGTGCTACTTCTCAGCTTATATATGATTATTGGTACTTATATTTGTAAAGCAGTATGGAAAAAGAAGTTTAGACATGGTCGCAATCCTTGCAGAATTTTTGCAGAATTTGGTCATGTTGGGGTTTTAAAAATTCTGCGCAGAATTTTGAAATATTTCCATGCAGAAAACTACGATGTCAGGAACCAAAGGAAGAGTCCTTTGTTGTGAAGCAAATGTTGCATCATGTATTGAGGGCAGGATAAATAAAGGCTTGGTTGAACCTTGTGATTTATTTCATTCTTCAGACAAATATTTTTTCAATTTCACTTTGCTTTGTCTTTGGTGTGTTCAGGCCGAAGTGCTAGAACTCAAATGGCCGCTGGATCGGAAAAGTAAAGTAAAAGTAAAGTGTTCTGGAATGTGAGCTTATTGTTAAGTGTTTCATGCACTGATTTATCACTGCCTTTCTTTATACATTAGTATCATATGAACATGTGTCGACAGTATCATGTCAGGGGGTAAGTGTGTCAATGCTAATTGGTATAATGTTTTTAAGTGTCTTAAAATAAAACATACTTGTTTTGTATCTGTTGTGAAGCAAATAAAAAATATGATGGTGATCCAAAAGAATTATGGTTGATTCCTTTTTCTTCAGATTCTTCCAATTCTTTTCTTTTTCCGCAATCATTGCAAAACAGTTAGTCTTAGCTTTACAGTTTACAGCACTTGCAGCAACACAATAAGGCCATATAAGTGCTGAAGAATAGATGTGTTACAAGAGAGTAACATACACGAAAAACGAGGAGAGATACGGACGATAGATGTTTGATATGGAGCAAATCACACCAGAGCACCCGCCAACCACCACATTTCGTCTACAGAGAGGGGCATTTTAATCATGTGACAACTTTTTTAGCAAGAGCCACAAATAATCTTTATTCTATTTCGCTTATATTCTCCCGGGCTGGGGCGACCATCCCCGACCCGGCGGGTCCCAGGTGGCGGATAGGGAACGGCCACTGTAAAATTGAGGTTAGCTGTGAATATGTTGAATAAGCAGCCCCGGACCAACTGGCGATGCTCTTACCAGGATGGGGTGAGGTGGTAGGTGGCGCTACCACGTCATTAAATTTAAATGCCCTAGGAGTCCTCTGACGGGAGCATCCTGCGGAAAAGGACCGCATTAAGTCCTGGCTACGGGTGGGATCCGGTAACAATTCCTCCCTGTGCTCCCAGAGTAGGTCCTTGGACCTGGAGCTGGAGTGCTGAAATCGGAGGTATTGGGCCGCAAGGCGCACTCTAGAGAACCACAATACCACGTAATACTGCAATAAATGACACTTGAAGTAGGTAACTTTAGATATGGTGCTCGCCCTGTGAGGACCCACCTGGCAGGTGCAGTGCCGGGCCCCAAGCCTCGAAGGGGTCCACCCCCAGCGACTGGAGGGCCTTCCGTCGTCTTGGAGTGCCAGGAGACGAGGAAGAAAAGCGACTGGTAACACAAACACACAACGAGTCAAGAAAAGTCTTAATACAGTATCATCATGCACTGGAATGCCGAAGGAATCTCAAACAAGGAAACAGAGCTGGAAAACTTTCTAAAAGATAATGAAATACACATCAGCTGTATACAGGAAACGCACCTGTAGGAGGGGGCAAGCTTTAAGGTAAGAGGATATCAGTGCTTCAGAAACGATCGCCAAGGTAGAAAGAAGGAGGAGTATTAACCCTGGTAAGAAATAACCTAAATACCATTGAAATAAACAAAAATATACAGGAGAAGCTGAATATATCTACAGCAGGATCACCACCAGCAGAGGCAATCTGGATCTAGTGAACTATTATTGTCCAAACGATAAAAACCTTGTGCTAGAAACCATAGAAGTCCCAGACACAGACTTTATCATCGCTGGAGATTTCAACAGCCAGTCCCAGGGTTGGAGATATAACAGACTAGACAGGAAAGGAGAAGAAATAGAGGCTTGGCAAGATGAAAATCATCTTCTGCTTGTAAATGATCCTTTGGATCAACCCACATTTTATTCTCGAGCTTGGCATTCAACTACGACTCCAGACATAGCACTCTGCACAGAAAACTTGCACAGACATCTAAGTAGAAAAATGGAAACCCAGCTTGGGGGAAGTGACCATCGCCATGTTCTTCTTACCATAGTAGAGAGCCTGCCAGAGGACAGCCCGAAAAGGCCGAGATGGAACTACAAAAAGGCAGACTGGAGACTTTTCAGCATAAGAACTAATGAGCTGACAAAGAACACCACAGTCTTTGACAAAAACATAAACAATGCCATCTCAGAGTTCAATGAAAACATCCTTAAGTCAGCAAAAGAAACTATACCTAGAGGGGTAAGGAAAAATTACATCCTGTACTGGAGGCCAGAACTCCAGAAAACACATATGTAACGAACTCATCAAGGCCAGAGAAGAAGCCGAATCACATCCAGGGATAGAAAACAACAACAAGCTACAGAGGTGTAAAGCCCACTATATCAAAACCAAATTGGAGTGCACCAGGTAAAGCTGGAGATACAAAACGCACAAACTTAACCTCGAAAAGGACACCACAAAACTATGGAGGCTTGTAAAGGGGCAAGATCACTCTAGAAATTGAAGGAGAGATGGAAATGGAGAAAAGGGCAGCACATACCTTTGTAAAAGCATATGCTCAAGAAAGCCACATCAAAATACCAAGAGAGAGACAAAAAGAAGTCAGACAAGAGGGAAGAAGAAAAAGAAGTACAAATAACATCCCGGAAGCAATGGAGAAGGACATCACCATGGAAGAGCTGAAGAAAGCAGTAAATCAACTGAAGCAAAGAAAATCACCAGGCCCCGATGAAATTACAAACGAAATGCTACAACACCTGGGCAACACAGCGTTACAGACTCTACTTGATATATTCAACTTAAGCTGGAAAAAAGGGCAAGTACCTCAGTGCTGGAAAGAAGCAACGATGATCCCGATCCTCAAACCAGGGAAAAGTAAGGCAAAACCATTAAGCTATAGACCTATCAGCCTCACAAGTTGTGTATGTAAGACAATGGAGCGCGTCATAGCTTGCAGAATGCAGTGGTACCTAGAGGCACAACACATCCTAGTACCAGAACAAGCTGGACTCCGTCAGTTCAGGAGCACAGAGGACCGAACAACATACTTGTCCCAAGTAATAGAGGACTCCTTCCAAGCGCAGAAAGTGATGCCAGCAACATTTGTTGATCTACAAAAAGCGTTTGACAAGGTGTGGAAGGAGGATCTACTAGTCAAGCTCCTTAGATGTGGTATCCAAGGCAACATGTACCTATGGACCAAATCCTATCTACACAACAGAAGAGCATGTGTGCTGGTGGATGGAAATCAAGGACGGAAAATGCTGTTGCGACAAGGAGTAGATCTATCCCAAGGTGGAGTCATGTCACCTTTGCTCTTTATCCTCTTCATCAATGACCTCATGAAAGAACTGCCCAAAGCAATACATGCAGCATTGTATGCAGACGACCTGGTTCTTTGGTGCTCTGAGGAATTCATCACTACTGCCACATATCGCATGCAACTAGCATTGGACAGACTCACTACATGGACAAAAACCTGGTGTGTAACCGTAAACAAAGAAAAGTCTTCTGCTACACTCTTCACTCTCAGCCAGGCTGAGCCAAAACACCTCACATTAGACAACCCCCCCCCCTAAAGTTCGAGAATCAACAGAAGTATCTTGGAATAATCTTTGACAAGCGTCTCACATGGAAACAACACATTCAGAATGCAGAAACTAAAGCCAGGAAGAAACTTTACATCATGAGAAAACTAGCGGGGACTCAGTGGGGAGCAAATGAGAAAACACTTAGACAGGTCTATCTAGGCGCAATCAGGCCCCATCTCGAGTACGGATCCAGTGCATGGATAACTTCAGCACAGACTAACAAATACACTCTGGAAAAAGTGCAAAACCAGGCTCTCCGAATAATCACTGGAGCAATGAGGTCAACGCCTATAGAAAAGATGGAACAAACAACATCTATAGTGGCCCTGAAGAGGAGATGGGAATGCAAGGCCCTCATACAGTACACCAAGGCCACAGCTATGGAGGATCATATACTGCACACAAGAACAGCCAGATCAAACACCACAAGACTAAAGAGATCCAACTTCATCAAAGAAAGCAGAAAAATCCAAAGATCCCTACAGGACCATCTACCAGCCACAGTTAACATGCTGAACCACACCCCAGAGGCACCATCATGGGAAAAGACAAACACAAACATAATTATACACACGTCCATTCCTATGTTCACCACAAAAGATGACCACAGCGACCTGAGCAAAAAGTCCCTCACCCTGTCCATGCTTGAACAAAGATACCCACGAGAAACATGGATAAGGATCTATACAGACGGATTTGCCACTGATGCTGTGAAAAGAGGAGGAGCTGGAGTGTACGTACAATTCCCAAATGGACGACGACAAGCAGAGGCAGTCCCAACAGGGCGACATTGTACTTGTACAAACTACAGGGCAGAGATGGAGGCTCTAATACATGCAGCAAATATCATCAAGAATGTGGTAGACCCCCAAAGCCAAGTAGTGTTCCTAACAGATGCCATGTCAGTACTGCAGGCAATCACTTCTGGCAAACTACCAAGGCTACGAAAAGAAATTGAGGACATCCCGTGTCTGAGGATCATGCTGCAGTGGATTCCATCATACTGTGGTGTCTTAGGAAATGAGCAGGCAGACAGGATGGCCAAACTAAGAGCACAGAAAGAGCAACCAGACAACAGTGTTAACTACACAGAAATAAAAACTATTATAAATACACTATTTAAAGCACATCAGACACCAGATGGCTACCATGAGCTGTCCCGCCAAGAACAAGTGATTATCTTCAGACTAAGGACACAACACACAAGACTGAGACAACATTAGTGCAGATGTTTTAAACTAGTACAATCACCAAAATGCCAGTGTGGAGAGGCGGACCAAACTGTTGAACACATCCTTCAGCACTGCAAGACACACAGGGCCCCGAGACAGGAAACGTGGCCAACCCACAGAATTCTACACTTAAGTGTAGAATTCTGTGGGCCAACCCCACTGACGCTGCAAGAGAAGCTATACGGGCCGACAGATGAACTGAGCACGACGGCCCAATTTATGACAGATACCAGACTTCAAGTGTGATGCGATCGAGAAGAAGAAGAAGAAGCTTATATTCTCCTCTACAGTACAGATGCATTGGCCATTGATGGGCGAGCTGTTATTATTTTTATCATAAATGCTGAAAAAATAGACGCAGCAAATTATTCATGATCAACCAGCAGCCTCCAGCTCCAACTGAGGACTCAAACCTTGCATATAATATATATAAACAGGGTCAAATAATAGCGTTTTTGTTTGCCATAGTAAATAGAAGCATACCGATATGATGATCATTTTTTGGTGCAAAGGAAAGGCAAGACTTAGTTTTAGTTTTAGTAAAGATTTTACAGCTCTCGCAACAGCATAAGGTCATATGAGTGCCGAAGATTTGAGGTGTTACAAGAGAGCAACAAACACAATAAAGAAGGAGGGGAGATAGAGACGATAGATTTTTTATAGGAAAGAAGGAGCAAACCACACCAGAGCACCCGCCAACCACCCGCAAGGCAAGACTGATAGACAGAAATAATGGAGGGAAAGAAAAGAAGTAAGACCTACCAGTTTTAGTTTTAGTAGAGGTTTGACAAGAATCAACCCATTCACAATTCTACTGCGCATGAACGAGAAATGTCCCCCCTCTAAAACTAAAGACACTTCAGTCAGGGGCACCGCCCCAGGGGGTAGACCTACCAGTCGCGCCAGCCATCAACCACAAATGATGAGGGAAAGAAAAAAAGTACAGTGTGTAGTACAGTAGAGCTTGAAGCTTCTTGATAATACCAAAACAACGAAATTTGAGAATGGGATGGAGAGACATGACATAAGAAATCACAAAAACTTGAACACTGCTTGATGGCTCAGATATACATATATTGCTTTATTTGCAAACCACAACAGGCATTATCACCCCCTCTCTCCCTTCAACTTCACACCCCCCCTCCAAAAGAAAAAACAAAAACAAACCCCCCCCACAAATCAACAAGGACTAGATCCCCCTGACTGTCATCAGGTCAAAAGTCAACAGATAACCTTGTGAATGTAATTTAATACTGTAAAACACTTCTTTTTATGGGAGCTCATTAATTTTCACAAAATTTTCTCAACCTGAGACACACGAGTAAAATGTATAAATTACACGATATGATACCATCCTTACAGTAACAGGTCAGGTGAGAGCTAAAGATATTTGGAAAAGGTGTGAAGCCCCAAATATTATTACATGAAATAAGATTCTAAAAAGCTATTCACAACCTTTTAATAAAGAGAAATAATACATAAAAATGTGATCTTACAAGCATAGACAAGACTCCAGTTCCCTGCATTAATAATGAATGAACTGCTCCTACTCTATAAAGGCCTGCAATATTTTCAAATTTCACAATTTGGGCAAAGCTTACTTTTGTTAACTTCCATGGACTCTCCTTCTGTATTTCGAGTGTAAACAAAGATTATCATGATTATCCAAGGAAACTCTTTATCTCTGAAGGGGGTTTTCCCATTATGCCGGAGCTCTCTTTTAGTAGAAAACCTAATAGTAACATACACATCACTAAAAAAATTGGTCATTACATCAAAATCAAAACAAACCTTTTTTGATAGTTCTTAATCTAATGAAAGAACCCCTGATAAGAGAGAGGCCCATTTTCTGAAATTTCTAAAAATTCACACAATGACAATGTCGTCGACATTGTAAAGCAATTTGGCTGAGCCACTTACGGCGGATCATCAGCACAGCGGTTCCGACCACAACCCGCTGGGAGAAGGTGCCAGAGGTAAGGAGTTAATGGGAACAGGGTCCTGTGCAAATGCCAAAAATATACACACAAGTTCAGTGTGTAAGAGGACTTTAAAGAACTTCATATGTGGCATAAAATTTCACACCAAAGTCAAAACATTTGATTAAAATAAATCCTCATTCATAGAAAATCTCTTATCACACTCTGCTTCCTATCTATGGCTCACATCATCCACTTAACATTACCTGCTCTAGGAACATGCAACAAGATACAAAGTGTTTTAATTTACTTGCATTTTATGCCACTTGCAACTCAAATAGGTCATATAAGTCTTTAAGTACTGAAGATCAGAGGTGTTGCAAGAGAGTAACATACAAAGAAAAGATAGAGAAGGGAGAAGAACGATAGATATGTTTGATAAGAAAAGAGAAACAACCATAAAAGGGCATCCGCCAACCACTCACACAGTGTTAATTAAACTGATGAAAATATAACTAAAATGAAAGGAAAGTGAAAGAACAGTACAGTAGAAACTGAAGTGCAGAGCAGTAAAATATACTGGAGTGGCTGTGATCAATGAAAAACTGGCGAGGGTTCTCAAGTAAGCTACAACAGTGGATAGAATATAATGTGCATGAAAAGTGAAACTGTAGGCCTACTCCTAAAAATTACGAGGTAAAAAGAATGAAAAAACAAAGCATCCTGTTTTGTCTACTTTTTTCCAGTCAAAGTCAACATAAAACAGTCTCCAACATGTTGAGCTTACAACCAACACATGACAAGCATTTCTGCCAACCTGCCTAACAACAAACAAAAGATGGTAGGCCTAATTACTTAGTTTACAAAAGTTACTGCAATAAGCGCATCTGACCTGGGACCATGGCCGAGAAAAAAAGAAAGAAGAAAAAAAATCCCATATCATCATTACATTACAGGAATGTGCTTGCAAGATCCAGGTACTGTAGGTACTGTTCAAGTAGGAGGGTAAAATCTGACAAATTCATCAGCTGACACGGAGTAGAGTTCATAATAACTGAAAACGATCATACTGGTAAAAGGTAACACAGGATGGGAACCCACTAATTGCATACAATTACAAATTTATGCAAGTTATTTCATTGATAAAATATAAAATTCACAGACACTTAAAACATTTTGTATATATAGATCTATAACACTCATGTCAATCAACACAGCTCTGGGTTGAAAGCACTTTTAAAAAATCTCCAGAGCAACACAAGTTACAATAAAATGTAGAAGCAGGAAAAAGCAAGTCTATCAATATCATAGGTCTCACAGTCTTTACAAATGGTCTTCTGGAACAGCCTAGTCATATCAGTGGTTTCAAGCACTGATTAGCAATCTCCCACGAAGCCTTTTTTACAGGAAAGGCTAAAAACTGTTAAACTAAACTAACAGAGACCACTTTGACTCAAATAGTATGTCAATGTTTCATGCAATTTTGTGTTTGTTCAATTTTGACCTCATTTATTGAGAAAACATCTTTGACCCTGTTTTACTACATAATTTTTTTCAAAATCAGGTTTTAGAAACTTTGGAGCAGGCCCATTTATGCCCAACACCACTGAAATGCAAACAAAAGGACACTGCTGTATCCCTGTCCGTGTCAGTGCAGCAGAGTGAGCTTACAGTAGAGTGGGAAGAATGACAGTTTGCATGTAGGCATACCAGTGAATGTTCAGCTGCCCCAACAGACCTCTCATCTGTGTTTAATGGAAACAGACGATTTCTCAAGTCTTGGTAAAAGATATATTAAAACATTCCTTCAAAAAGAGAAATGGACCTAGTTATCCTTACTTTTTATCATCTCATCGTCTCCTATCAGGCAGCTAGACACACTTATAAAAAAAATAAGATACGTTTTCATGGAGAAGGATTTAACACTTTCATTATATATTATATATATATAAATGTTATTTCACAATAACTTGTACCTATTTCCCTTCTGACCTGCCACATTGTCTTTAATTTGGAGTCCTTGTAGGTCATTGTTACATGCAGAAAGAAGCTGAGCAGACCTTCACAAACACCTTGTCATTTAACTAACAAAACAGTGAGTAAATGAGGGATGTCTAAGTTTTAGTAGAGGTTTTACGGCGTTCGCAACTGCATAAGGTCATATGAGCGTCAGAAGATTAGAGGTCTTACAAGGGAGTAACAAACATAAAAAAGGAGAAGACATAAAAGGACGATAGATGTTTAATAGGAGAGAAGGAGCAAACCACACCAGACCACCCTCCAACCACCCACTAAATGAGTGAGTGAGCTAAAGGGTACACTAAATCATTGAGAAGTTTCGGTAGAGACAGGTACGGAATTTCCAAAGTGTAAGACAATGTTCTTATTTCAAAAACCAAATGTATGGTACTATTTAACTTGAGATTTAAATACTTCGAAGGCAAAATGCAAATCTAACAAAGGGTTTAAAAAAACCTCAACAAATACCCCACTGAGTTTGAATCAAACAGAGCCTACTACATCATTTACATGTATGCAAATTTAATGTACACAGCCTATACATTATATGAATAACCAATACCAATATGACCATAGATTTTCATTGACAAAATTAATCTGAGAAGTACAAGAAATGTCATAGAGGAAAGCAAATCTTTAAAGCGTCTTTATGATTTTAATTTAATAGAACTTGTCAGTAATTTATGTACAAATATATGCTTTTGGTATCCTACCTGTAAACAGAACACAAATCCATAAACAAAGGTCTTCAGACCAAATGCAAATAAAAAACCGGAACATTCTAAAAAATGTATTGCTGTAATATGAATTAAAGCTTTCAGACAAATTTAATGCTGAATTTTTCAAATAGTTGTTATCAAATATGATCAAACGTAGGAGTTGAAAGATTTCAAATGATTGTCAAGTCAAGGCTCCAGTTCATACCACGCAGAAGGCTAAATGAAGGGAACCCCGCTAGTAAGCGACTGTAATGCTGTGTCAAAGTTTCAACATGCGGAAGAATGGGGAGAGGGTTAAAACTTTGCTCTGGAAATTTACTTAACTCGTGCTTTTGTTTTCTGTCAACGACACGAGTCACCAGAATGTTCTTTGTTCTTAAGGTTAGACAGTGACTGACATCGCCTAATAAATACATTACCATAGCCATTATTATACACTATAATATATGTCCTGAACATTGGCAGCTCATACAATATGTTCTTGATTATTTTGCAGAAATAAGGGGAATAAGGGAAATGGAACAGTGGCCGGAAAACATGGGACCTCTTAGCCCATTTTGTGGCAGGCAATGTTCTCTTTATATAGGCCTTGGCCTATAGGAAATAGCACCCAAAACAAAGTTCATTTAAACGGTAAAGATGATAAAGGGTAGGGATGAAACCGCTATAAATATAGTTAATTTTTATGGTGAAGAGGTTGAGTAGCGGAAACAAAAGAACATGGAGAAAAAATACACACTGATGACATTATAAATATTGATTCTTTGTAGTCTCAGGAGTTCATCTTCACTAGAACCCCCTAACCTTTTCAACAATAAAAACAGTGAAAAGCAGCATGTTTTAAACATTTGGTCCAAGAACAAAAAATTCACATTGGAAAAAAGGGATCCTTCCACTAACTGTACATGATACTGTAATTACCCCTCAGTCAGTTGTTTTCTTGTTTACATTCAATCACTTATCATGAAGAATTCATTCAATTTGTAGGCTATGTTCTCTTTCCAAGGAATGGACGTAAAGTTTCGAATTTTGCTTGCCTGCAGAAAAAAAGACTTCATGGCTTACAAGCATTTTTAACAGGCTATCAATTTGATTCATTACAGATGAAGAAAAATATTCTCATCATACTCACATAAAATACCAGATATAAATCCATTTTGACAAAATGCCAAAGTCAACTTTACTATGTTTGTACTCCTCTGTTTGCTCAAAAGGGAAGGGTAAAAGCTACCATTGAGGCACAATTCAACAGAATTCCTCTCTTTGCCAAGACGATCATTATTCTAACATACCCTGAAGATGCCTGGAATAAATCATGTCCACACACAGACAAATAGCTTATATAACATTCAGTAAATATTCACCGGTCTGGGGTACTTTTAAACAAGCATTTGGAGTGAGATCTCAGATCTTCATGTTGTCAGTTCTCAAGGGACAAAGTATCTTCATAATGTGATAAGCAATAGACACAAAAAAACCATCTGGTCATGGTGAAAAGCAATAATAAATAGTAGGCTAATAAATCAAATGCATTAGCTCAGTGCACATCCATGCTCAACAGCAAACCCTATGCACTTTACAATTTGTTTATTACCCTTACCCTAGCAGACCTTAGAACACTCAGAAACATTCTCAGCTTCTCAAGAAGCACACAGAGCAAGCAGCCAATTAAAAGCTCAAACACTGACAAACTGACAGGATCTTTCGCTGTCTGTAACCAGGATACCCATTCCCACTTGGGTGAAGTGAGGAAAACTTGTGTGATGTGCGTTTCTCATGGACAGGACATCAGACCCTTGATAGGGTTCAAACCCACAACTCACAACCTTTTGGTTGCGAGTCCAACAACGTAACCACTAGATCATCAACGCCACAACCAGACTAGTAAAAACATAAGAATAAAAAGACAGTCAACACACCAGGAAAGACCAGAGATTCACACACACACACAGCACACTGGCCCCCTTCCCATCCCAGACGAGGAATAGGAGCATTTTATCACTGAACACTTTCCAAATATGAAAACGTATGAAGCAAATGCAATCCATAATTATTAACATAATTATCATCTTCTTTAAAAATTGATCATTGGGGAACCAGAACAGAACTTTAAAAATTATAATTGATTCAGTTCATTGTCTCTGACAAGAACGTACCCACAATATAATGTCTATAAGTGTAAACATTTTAAAAGGGATGAAGATTTCAGGCGAGGAATATATCATAAGCTGCAGACAAAAATATATTCCTGAACAACCTCTTTATGAGTTTCAACACTTTTGAAAGAAATTTTCATCATAAAAGCAATGTCTCTTTCGAGAGAAGTTGGGGCAAGTATTTTCAATTGTTACACAGTTTTTTGGAGCCACGTCAAAATGACATCAAGGACAATATCAACTTACTTTCCTCACAGCAGGAGTACAATCATTCACCAGAAGCAATCAATCATGGCTGCTCACAGCGCGAACACAGTGAAACAAGAGCATCATTACATAAACGTCATAGTTCAATTCCCAAGAGGGGTCATGTTGCTACTTAAAAAAAAACCCCCAACAACATTGTGATGATTAAGTCGTGAAGATCAATAACCCAAGACCGACAGATATTGCAAGCTGTATAAAAAAGAATTACTCGTCACTGATGTCAGTTTCTTTATAAGCAAAGTGCTCTACATGTATATTTACTCCAATATGAGTATCCTTTTCAAAAGAAAGAAAAACACATTTTATATAAAATTCAATTCAAGACATAAATTAAATTTGGCAAATTTGTCAAACTCCGAGATAAAAATGATAAAACCAAAGTAATATTTTAGTCTTCGACACTCTCCAATAGCAGACATACATGAAAATTCACAATTCCTGCAGCATAGCATCTTTTGTTGTCAAAAAGACAGGATATGTCAACTATATATCAAATGTCGAGCACATTGCAGCTGAAGATTATAGCCCCATTAGAACCCAACAAATCACAAATTGATGGAGTCATGCTCTAACTATATATCTGGTTTCTTGACAATTTTGCTAAAAGCAAAAAAAGATTTTCATTTAATTGATGAGAGTAAAGAGTAGTCCCAAATGTCCACCCACAGTATTTTTATATATTTAAATTTCACAGTGCATGCTGGCTCCTAATAAATTGTTTTCAAAGAGGATATGCAGATCAACCTCGGCAATGGTCTTAGAAATAAATAAATAGTAATAATAATATCAATAAATAGCATTTGTACAGCGCATATATCCCCACTCAACAGCGAGCTCATTGCACATTACAATCTACATATTTTAGATGTACTTCTTCCAGTCACATGGTTAGAACATGACACAGTCGAAACATAATATTTTCAGGTCCCAATCAGTGGTCCGTAAAAAGTTGATGATTTATAGGGCAACACCCCACCACAGGTCCTCAGTGCCCACAAACGTCTGGCCTCAGACGTAGGTGGAAGGAGAAGGTCTGGCATCAAACACGCGCTCCAAGTTGGCGTTGAGGAACATTCCGTTAGGGTCCAGCTTTTCCCGGATGGCACAAAACTCTTTCCACTTGGGGTAAATTTTCTGGAACTGCAATCCTGTGTACTTGTGTGCCTGACAACGATACGAGGGAGGGAAGGATGAAGGGAGGGAGAGGTTACCACTTTGCCGTCACATCTAACCGATCGGCAAGACCGCTAAACTTCCGCTCCCGTCACAAAACGCTGATCGGTGATGTTTACCACCCAGTTCCTTTGGATTTCCCCAAAAATGCTTGTAAAGGCAATGGTTTTTATTGTATGAGCCTTGTGATAGCAAAGTGTTTTGAGAGAGAGAGAGAGAGAGAGAGAGAGAGAGAGAGAGAGAGAGAGAGAGAGAAAGAGAGAGAGAGAGAGAGAGAGAGAGGAGAGAGAGAGAGGAGAGAGAGAGAGGAGAGAGAGAGCGAGACAGAGAAAGAGAGACAAAGAGAGAGAGAGAGACAGTTTTGAGTTTTACAACCTTTTCAACACATCATACACTACTTAATCCTTTCACCACAAAGGCCAAAGGCTATTCCCAAACAGGCCACTTAGTACCTATAACAAAACAAAATAACACTGCCAAGATAACAACAGAACAATATTTGTATAAATTGGCTCCAACTCACTGACATCATCTATCTCAAATACACAAAGGTCCTATCTCTAAAATAATCTTACAGAGTCCAAATTTCAGAAAAAGATGCAGAGAAGCCTCAACACACACAAAATCATTGCATTTAGCGCTTTGGGTCAATATCCTTTTTTCAACACACACACACATACACAAAGAGACTTTTAATATTACACTAGAAATTACAATGTGGAAACACAAGATAAACCAAAAAAATTAAACCAAAAAAAAGAACAGAAAAATATCACATGACCCCAGAAATAGAAGGAACAAAATGTATTTTTCTGTATATATGTGTGTTGAAGAAAGGTCTTTATCCATGAAAAAAAAATATATAATGTGCTTGTTTTGTGGCTTCTTTTCACCTTTTTGTGATTTTTAAAAACCATTGGATCTCTTGCAGCATTACAAGTTCATTTTCAAAGCCAAAAGAAGCTTCAAAACCCAGACCACTGCTCTCACTCTCTGTCAATCTCTCACCTTGGCCCAGTGTGGTCTTCCTCCATGCTCAGCCATGATGCTTTCGTACGCCGTCCAGTACGACTCGTGGTCCACCAGCTTGTTGAAGGGCCTGGGAAACATCAGACATACAATAATAACAGTAAAAGCAATAATTATAATAATAACAATAATAAATAATAATAATAATAAAAGTAATAATAATCATATGTGAGGCATCATGGGGAAATCAGACACTCGTCAAAATTATAATGAAATAAAAGAAACTGGCATTTTTCTGACAGTTGGGCAATTTTTTCTAATTTTCTTCTTTTTTGGCTCAACACCTTTTATATCCATTTGAAAACACATTTCTGTGTGGGTTATACTGAAAAACATTGATTAAAGGCACACAAAAATGTCCATTTTCATTTTCCAAGGACTCTTAAGCTATGGAAAATACCAAACTTTGGCGGCCATTTTCTCGCTGATTTCAACTCTGAAACCAGGGGACCCTGACCTCCTTCAATCGCAAATATTTCGACTTCTATTCAACAAGGAAATTGTTTTCACTAAAACAAGGCAAATGAACAGGCTTTAAGATTATACCGATGACCCTATATGCCCAGAAATTGACGAGCCTGATTCCACCATGTCGAGACACATAAGGAATATGCCAAAGACTTTGGACAGTATGCAGCACTCTACGTCCCCTGAGACAATAAGACTAAAATGTCAAGGCCAGCCAGGTAATTAAAAGTGAAGGCATGCAAACTGGGAAATGAAAGAGCTGATGCTCTGGCAAAGAAAGGAGCTAGCCTCCCTCAGCCTGAAATTCCTACGAATTTTCACCACCTGCTGCCAAATGATCAGGTCAAACCTCAAGGAAGAGTGGATGAATGATTGGGCCACGGGTACAACAGGAAGAAGGATGTATGGCCACATGAATAAACCACTGGTCAAAGATCCAATCAATGAGTTGAGGAGGGGAGATCAATCCATAATCTTCCAACTTAGAACACAACATGTACCCCTCAACCAACATCTCAAATTGGAGTAAAGCAGTCTGCTGCCTGCCCACTATGTGACTACCCCCTCAGAGACAGTGGAACATCATCTATCCTTCTGTAGAAAACTAACTGATTTAAGGAGATGTTTTCTTCCCAAGTTACCTCACACATCTAATTGCCTCTACTCCACAAGACAACAATTAGAACAGACATGCAGCAATTACCGAATGGCATCAAGCAGAAGAGTTAATGCTCAGATGCTACTGGATCGCTAACAACAACAATAACAAGGCATGCAATCACTCTCTCAAAGGGGATCCATAACTATTTTAAAAAAAAAGACTTTTACTTCCAATTCCAACACACTCAATTTTAACTGCTTTGGAAAATTCTTTGAACAATTTTTCTCAAGCCTAAAATTGTAGAACATATAAAAACCAAACTGGTGAGTCTTTAAAAAAAATAAATTTATGCTTATAAGCTCCAAAGATCTTTTAACTAATCTTTTTTTTTTGGGTCACCATCATAACACAATTGCATAAATCATTGACTTAAGGTTTGTAGCTATTGTGACTGTTTAAAAAGCCTGTCACTTATATCATATCCTCAATATAGCAGGGTTTTCTTTTGGGTGCTAAAAATTCAATTATTGAGATACTTTCACTTTGCTCAAATCGCAATGTTGTCTTTAGCAAGCATTGTTTTTACTTTTTTTTTGGGGGGGCGGGGGTTAAATGTCTCAGGCAATTTTGTTTTGACTGTGGCGATATGCGTGAGGACTAGCCGATTACCTGTACATGATAATGTTGATATAGCAGGAGTCTTGTTGATAACATGGGCTCAGGTAGATGTCATCAGCACGCACAAAGCGAACCTCCACGGGGAAGTGTGCGTAGAAACCGTTCTGCTCAATCCAGTCTTTCAGCTTGTACAGCACCACGCCCGTGTTCTCTCTGTACATGGGGTGGAGTGGAGTGTAGGGGGAGGAGTTTATGGATGTCAATCACAGGGTGGAGTGTAGGGGGAGGAGTTTATGGATGTCAATCACAGGGTGGAGTGTAGGGGGAGGAGTTTATGAATGTCAGTCAAGGGTGGAGTGTAGGGGGAGGAGTTTATGAATGTCAGTCAGGGGTGGAGTGGAGGGGGAGGAGTTTATGGATGTCAGTCACAGGGTGGAGTGGAGGGGGAGGTGTTTGTGAATGTCAGTCAAGGGTGGAGAGGAGGGGGAGGAGTTTATGAATGTCAGTCAAGGGTGGAGTGTAGGGGGAGGAGTTTATGAAAGTCAGTCAAGGGTGGAGTGTAGGGGGAGGAGTTTATGAAAGTCAGTCAAGGGGTGGAGTGGTGGGGGAGGAGTTTATGGATGTCAGTCACAGGGTGGAGAGGAGGGGGAGGAGTTTATGGATGTCAGTCACAGGGTGGAGTGGATGGGGAGTAGTTTATGAATGTCAGTCACAGGGTTGAGTGGATACGGAGGAGTAAATTGATGTCAGTCACGGGTTGGAGAGGAGGGGGAGGAGTTTACGGATGTCAGTCTTTACATGGTAAAGTAAAGAGTTGATGGTGTTGGGCCCAATGGGCCAGTTCCAAAATGTTCTAAACCTGGGCTCTTTTTTACTACATTGTACAGCAGAGTCAAACACATTATCTCAATAAAAGGAATAAAATACTTATTAAACAGAAATGTACGAAACTTAAACATAAAATGGCTTCTGATACTTAAATTAAACGGTTTTTAGAATCTCCTGTAAAATAGGCTTTCCTGGGAGGTGACTCATATTTTGAAACTATCTTTAAGACAGAGGGAAAAAAATTATTCTACCAAGTAATTCCAGGCAAAAGAAAGACCAAGAAAAAGATGGATCAATGGAGTCAAAGTGACCTTCCAAAGGCAAGATATGATTATCCGCCTTAAGGCATCACACATGGCCCACGTCCGATAATTATATCTACCCTCAACACCTTGCACTAAAAAAGGACAGAAAAAGTCAAAGTAAGTAAAATTAAAACAGATCCAATGAATATTCACCTGTGAATTAACCCTTTAAGCCCTGAGTTTTTTCTACTGTTTCCCTGAGTTTTTTCTACAGTCACCTAAACCTAGTGCACTATGTCTCATTATAACCCCTAAAGCTTGCCTCCAACTTCTAAATAGCGTAAACAAAGGCTTAGTCATTACTAAAAAACTTGGTTCCGGAATAGTTTCGAAAAACAAGCAAAAGTTAGCACTAAATAAAACAAAACAGTTGTCCCTTGTACCGGACGCTCCCAGTGTCCGATGGGGAACAGGGTTATTACCGCCGGATGCTCCCAGCGTCCAATGGGGAACAGGGTAATTACCGCCGGATGCTCCCAGCGTACGATGGGGAACAGGGTTATTACCCCCGGATGCTCCCAGCGTACGATGGGGAACAGGGTTATTACCGCTGGATGCTCCCAGCGTACGATGGGGAACAGGGTTATTACCGCCGGATGCTCCCAGTGTACGATGGGGAACAGGGTTATTACCGCCGGATGCTCCCAGCATACGATGGGGAACAGGGTTATTACCGCTGGATGCTCCCAGCGTCCAATGGAGTTCAAAGAATTAAAGCCATACAATACAGGATATAAAAAAACTTACTTGGCCGCTCATATGACCTTATGCAGTTGCGAGCACCGTAAAACCGCGTACTAAAAAAAAACAACCCCAAAAACTTACTTGGGTATGGCCCACTCTGTGACATACTGCTTGAACAGGCAGTTGAAGTTAAAGACCCGGTCGCTGCGGGCCACCTTCTCGATGGGCTGCTGACACATGAGGCGAAAGTACAGACGGTTGATGCTCTTCACCAGACAAGGCACAAACGTGCTGAGGAGAGAGGAAGAGATTTGTGTCGGCAGTTGATGACAGTAATGCTGCTGCCTCAAAGCATAGCAATGTATCTAACAAACTCAAGGATATTTTTGGTGGGGTTTTATTGGTCTGTCCCCGAGGTTTTATGCAACCCGCATAATTTAGCAAAATTTGATCATTTTTTGCATAAAATCTGATTATTTTTCTGAATCATTCTTTGTTAAAATTTACAGAATTGCATAATTTCAAATTTTTTGGCTCAGTTTACATAATTTCATTTTTTTGTGTGCATAAAACCACGGGGACAGATTGGTTTGTGACATAAGTTTTGCCCACATCTTTCTTGTGTCAAAGACAGGACTATGTCTGTACATCAGAAATAGTATAGTTTTCAAACTAGTAAAGCTATGTATGTGACTCACCTCTATCCCACTACCAATGACAGAGTGGTATATTGGCATTTCTGTAACTTTCTACAGACTACCTCACAGACCCAAAAGCCAATTTAAGTTCTTCAAACTACAATACCAAGGTTTTTTTGTTTTTTTTAACCCATCAAGGTTTTCAGCAAGCTTTTCTCTTCATTTCATAGAAATTTTGACATTTTCCTGCATAATGTTACTTTTATTTATTTAAGCATCTGCAATTAGTAATTATAATCAATTGCTTATTAATTGTTAGTTAAACTCCTCGCTTTTTCACTTTCTTTTTTTTACCTTTTTCATTCCAACAACGCAGGCTTTTACAGATTTTTTTTGGCCATTTCTATGTCATGAGTTCCTTTTCCTCTGATTTTCTTTTGGCTTTTAAAAACCCCAACTTATTCAACTTGATTTACAAATTTTCTAAAACAAATTTGACGGGGGCTTTTTAAGAGACTTCCTAAAACAGAGTAGTCACAAAATCAAAATGATTTTTTCAGTACCTTATCCACAGCAAAAGTTGTAAGAGATGGTAGCCAACGAACATATCCCAAAACCAGCTGGACTTCACGGCTGGCTCCTGGGGACAACAGAAATAAATAGATGACTCACAGGAGAAGACAGAAATTAATCAAATAGAAAATGACGGCAAAGTGGCTATAAAAAATCTGTATATAGTCTAAATCGTTTAAGACAGCCACTCATTGTTGAGGAAAAAGGGTTGCCTTTAGAAAAGTGAATGTCTTACGGTGTCATTAAAATGCACCCACCCCCCACCACCCCCCCCCCCCAAAAAAAACAACAAAAAAACTGCAAGAGATAAAATGGGAAGTGGCTGTTGGTATAGGTAATAGTCTAATACATGTGGCCTTACGAGCAGGTTTAACTACATTGCCTCCGTGTCAAGCCAAAACCTCTTATCTCCATGTACATTACAGACTGTGACAAATTATGTGATTGCTTGCGTTTAAGCTCGATCAAGCTGTCACACAGTATGTCCTCAAAAGACTGAGATGGAAATGTGAAATGAATAGATACATAGATACATAAATGTAGTCGCTGCAACATCCTGTAATAAACCTTCAACTATAAAGAAAGGATACAACACTTTGAATAATCCCTTTATATTCTAATACATGTAGTTATCACTCTCACCTACTAGTAAATCCAGCTAAAACACCACAAAGAATAACGTAAAGACAGGACACACAAGAACCATGACCAAACACATCATAAGTGTGTGACCTTTACCTTTTTGGTCCTGCTGGCACTGTAACAGACGACAGACTCAGTGTGAGGATACCACATGAAGCGGAAATGGTCAGCCTCTGCCACATGCTTGTCAAAGTTGTCAATGACCTGTAGGAGCCAGAGAATCAAGACAACAAGAAAGAATTGTTGAGTCACAACTTATCGCCACCTGGTGTCATGACAATAGCTACATAACATAAAGAAGCAGAAGAGAAAATAAACATGGCTGCTGTTATTTTCTACATCATTATCAAATCATTTTTACTCTTTACAAAGCCTAAGACTAAGTACAAAAAAAGGTCATTTCAATGGCAAACAATTTGTCTTTTAGTTTTAGTAGAGGTTTTACGGCGCTCGCAACTGCATAAGGTCATATGAGTGCCAGAAGATTAGAGGTGTTACAAGAGAGTAACAAACATAAAAAAGAAGAAGGAAAGATAAGGACGATAGATGTTTGATAGGAAAGAAGAAGCAAACCACACCAAAGCACCCGCCAACCACCCACAATAACTGGTCTTGAAGAGACAGAGACAAAACATCCATGGATCAACAACAACAATAACACAGATCAGGACAACACAAGGAACATAACAGCACTCATCTCAGGAAATGCAAAATCCACAACAAATGAAGAAATAAGTAAATATAATCAATTAGCATTTGATGTAGAGTCGAGACTGTTCAAGACAGCCACCCATTGTCGAGGAGAAAAGCAGTTGTCTCAGACAGATAGATGTCTTAGACAGTGTTGTTATAAAAAAGAAAAAAACACAACGGAGGAAGAGGTCATTTGTACAGGTGTCTGTCTTGAACAAGTAGCCTTTAGAGATGGTTCGATTGTACTCACATTTTTCAGGGAGCTGGGGAACTGCCTCTGGTGAAGTCTGTAAGCTTTCTCGCACTGGAACGTGACAGAGAGAATCACTCCAAGCGAGCCAAGACCCAGAACAGCAGCGTTGAACAACTCAGAGTTTTCTTCTTTGCTGATGGTGATTATCTCCCCAGAGGCTTTCATTAGAGTGAGATCCACGACCTGGTACAAAAGAAAACACAGAAGTGTTTAGTTTAGTTTTAGTAAGAGTTTTGCGGCACTTGCAACACAAAAAGGTCAAAATATAAGTGCCGAACATTAGAGATGTTACAAGAGAGTAACAAACACAAAATAGAAGGAGGGGAGATAAGGAGGATAGATGTTTGATAGAAAAAAAGGAGTAAACCACACCAGAGCACCCGCCAACCATCCACACACAGAAGTGTGGTGGCATCAACATTGAGGTAGGTTTGCTTCTCAAAAGTATCAGTAGCAACTGGCTACTAAAAGTATTTCAGATCTTTTCAGACCCCATCAAAACACTCCCTTGAGGACTCAAAATTTAAGGATTTTAGTGCCTTACACAGCTTGAATAAAGACTATTTTCGCTATAATGATCTGCCTGAAGACCAAGGCAAAAACAGGACAATTTCAGAAATCTGGATTTCTGGATTTATCAGGAAAATCGGCACCTCTGAAGCACAATAGAGCACCTAGTCCTTGAGCTGCAAAAAACATGACTTCTGATCATTACAACACTATGATTTAAACAATAAAAAAGACTAACCAAAAAGCTCAAAAATTGGCTGACAGTTTATTCGAAAACAGTAGCAATACTTAGAAAGGATATAGGACCCATGTATAAGGTTTTCAGGAGGCATCTGATTAAGAAGTAAAGTTTTACACACACAGGGTATAAAATTGTCTCATCTCAAAATCAAAAAAAATATTCATCATGATTATATATCACGTTTGCCTCAGTCATTTTTTTTGGTGCAGGTTCCTAGTTATTTATGCATTAAAAATTACCGCTTCTTATTTTGTTCCTCAATATATCAGGGTCTTGTTTTTATTCACTGAAAATTCTATTAATGAAACATTTTCACATTTACTCAAGCAATAAGTCTGATTAAAAAAAGCATTTTTTTTTAACACTATGCCCCCATGGGATGCCAATTGGCGACGGTAAGAAGCCATCCCTTTTCCCCACGGGACGCAACGGTGTGATATATAGCAGGTATCGTACCTGTATCCTGGTCCGTGGGGATAAGTATTGAGTGCTCTGCGCGCTGCGCGGGTGAAAAGTGTTAATTATTTCAAATCATACAAAAATTGACTGAAGCAACTGTGTTATGACCCTGACAATATCTTTCTTTATGACACAGCACTCATTCACCCACCCCAGCAACGAACAACTCACATAGGAAGACACAATGCCAAAGTTGGTGCCAGTCCCGTGAGTTCCAGTGCTAATGACACCAGCAGCTGAGAGATCGTCCACAGTCCCTTGGCTACAGGGGGAATAAATGTACACATCACACATAAACTCAATTATTTGTAAGTACACAAACATACTTATTTATATACATAAACTCACTTATTTCTGTACACAAACACACTTATTTACACACATAAACTCACATATTTCTATACACAAACACACACATATTTTTTGACACACAAACTGACTTATTGCTCTACACAAACACTGTTTTTTTTTTACACACAAACTGACTTACTTCTAAACATAAACGCTGTTATTTTATTTTCATACACAAACTCACTAATTTCTATACACAAGCACTGCTATTTTTTCACACACAAACTGACTTATTTCTATACATAAACGCTGTTATTTTATTTTCATACACAAACTCACTAATTTCTATACACAAACACTGCTATTTTCACACACAAACTCACTTATATATTTCTATACACAAACACACTTATTTTCATATACAAACATACTTACATTCACACACAAGCACTGATTTTCAAAACAGAGGCTTCGGTGAATGCACATGGTCGCTTTTAAGCACAAGGGGGCCATCCCGAAAAATGCTGTTTTGAGAAAATCGAAGACAAAAGTTTTTGCCCCTTGTTCAGTTTCTTTAAAAAACAAGGAGAGTTTTCTCTATAACCAAACAAATATACACACCAACGAAACCAAACTTCTCCAATAGGTATGGCAATGCCCACTTTTGGTGTAGGTCAAGATGTCTGGAAACTGCCGAAATAGGCGATCACATACGAAACCTACAGGGTTCAATACCTCCAACAAGACTAAGAACCACTGATCTAAATAGTGTAAATACCACAGACGCAAGACAGTTATAACATCGATGAGGAGATTTTTATTATAGTAGAGGATTTTACGGCGCTCGCAACTGCATAAGGTCATATGAGCGCCAAGGGGTGGGTGTCAACAGAGAAGTCTTTACAGGGAATCAGACTTACTCTGCTCACCTCTCTAGCTTCAACAGCACAAGGTCTGCTTCGACTATCAAGGCACCCCGGAAATAGCAGGTCACAAGAATTATATGACAAACATACAAGAGAAGTAGAGGAAAATGACAATAGTAAGGATTAGGAAAGAAGAAGCAGCAGTTCCCTGTTTAAGATCAGGCACAGTTATGAGTGTGACATAAATCAGCCCATTTACAATTCTACTGTGCTTGAACGATTAATAGGAAAGAAGAGGCAAACCACACCAGAGCACCCGCCAACCACCCACAACAAACTGTGAAACAGAAACCTTACACAGAGAATGCCAAGTTGTGCGCTGGAAGGACGTTGTGGTTGAGGTCTTTTATCAAGCATCCAGCTTGCACGCTCACCTGAGACTTCTCTTCATCAACCTGCCGTGAAAAAAAAAAAGAAGAGAGAGCAAAGACATTAGAGTTAAAATATAGACACATAAAGAAGTCCATAACTACAAAACACCTTGTCTGGGTGTGAGTCTGAGTGTGTGTGTGTGTGTGTGTGAGTGTGCGTGTGTGTGTGTGTGTGTGCATATGTGTGCATTTGTGTGTATGTGAGAGCAGTTGTTGCTATTGAGGTATGCATCTATATTTTGTGTTATAGAAGTTGGTCAAAGTGCATTGTTAATCTACCACAATGCAGCGTCAATTAAGCATCTCATCTCATCATATCATACCTCACTCAACTCATTGGTATAATCTACAGTATCAAAAAATGTTGCAGAAGGCTACATTTTAATTGCTTTACAGTAGCTGACAGTCTTCAAATAAAGTCCAAACATGAAGTGTTAAAAGAAGGCACTATTTGGTACTTTCTTCCAAAAAGGTGCAAATGCATGTTATAAAGCAGACAGCAAATCTCAAGTAACAACAAACACACCTTCAAAACTTTATTGTAGCGCTTCAGGCTGATCATAAAGTCTGTAGTACAAGCGATGTCTGAAGGGGAATGTCCAAAACCAACCACTTTCACCTTTTTCCCCTTCTCTCGTGCATAATCAACAATCTAGGGAAGACAAAAACCACATACACACACATAGACACAAATTAGTTACAGCCACAAGATATTCTGACTTTGCTACACCTATGGAAAAAAAAAATTCATTACAAGTAGGGGCCATTCTGAGTGTGTAAAATTGAGCTACAGGGTTTTTGGACTCTGCTACCACAAAAATTTCACATCATTTTTTTTTCTCCCAAAAACATTCTCAATCCACAGACAGACCAGCAGACAGACTTCCAGGGATGAAAAAGTTTCTTAAAATAACAAATCCTGAATAGACTGAGAAGTCGAAAAGTATTTGAATTCCAATCAATATGAGACTTGACTGGCACGTACCAGTGTGACAAAAAATGAAAATAAGAAAATCAGACGAAACTAAAACATTTTCAGTTTGTGAGGGGGAAAATGGAAAACCCCAAAAGAGTATCTGAGAGGCATGAGTTCAAGTCTAGTACCCACATCCTGTGGCCAATAAGACTGAAAAAGGAGAGTGGAGAGCCATTAAAAACTCCTGAAACAATATAAGCCAAGAAAGGAACTAAATAAGAGACAACCGTCCCACAGCCAAGAAAAGGTCATAAACAAAGAGAATGTTTCACGTACAAAAGCTTGTAGTTGTAGTGTAAGCAAGCAAACACTAGGATTTAGGAATATACCTTACATTATTTAGTTGACACATGCAGAATTCAAAACAATATACAAGACTATTAGGTATATCGGTTGCATTTGCTTGCTCGTCTTAGCTTTCAACAATGTAAAGCATTCTTGTTTTTGGCCTATAGGTGCAACCACTCCTTCACCTGCCTCTTTGCATTAAGTCTAGATAACACATCCCTGTAGGCCATATAATAAGTTTAGATTTTGACCTCCTTTCTTACACAACATCTGTTACGGATCAGTGAACACAGCCTGTACCTTACAGTGTAAGTCTGCTTTTTTACAATAACCCTACAGGATTTGGGAAAAAGTGGACCAAAAACCACATTAAAACTGGAATTCACTATTTGGATTTTTTCTTAACAGTAATAACACACAACTTTTTCAAACAGTATGATTGTAGAAATTGAACTCTGGCATATTTTTAAAGAAATAATCTTAGGTTTCTATTTTTTACTTGTGATTAGTGATAAGTTTAACAATTTATTAAGCCCCAATATCCTAAGGCTACCATGCCCCTCTGCCTGCACTCCTTAGCGATATATTACTTTAATAATAAATAGCATTTATACTGCGCATTTCCATTTCCGAAAAGATGCTCAATGCGCATTACAATGAAAAAGACATCACATCTTAAAAATTAATCGACACAAATGTGTACGTAAAACAAAGTATTATACATATAATATAAATGCATATGTGTAAAATTTTATACCAGAAAAACAGTCTCGCAGTGAGGTTGAAAATGTGTTCACTAAAAATATACAATGCAATATAAATTCACGAACAGTCAAAATACAGTTGAAACGTGAGTAACTAGAAACATTCATTAAAACATTAATTCTATACAGATAGAAAAACATTTCCACTCTATCTCTCTCTCCTCTATCTCTCTCTCTCTCTCTCTCTCTCTCTCTCTCTCTCTCTCTCTCTCTCTTTCTCTCTCCCTCTCTCGCTATCTCTCTCTTTTCTCTCTCTTTTCTCTCTCTATCTCTCTCTTTTTCTCTCTCTCATTCTCACTCGCTATTTCTTCAGTCTCACAGTCTGGCATACACATGCATATATATCACAGTACAGTCTGGCATACACATGCATATATATCACAGTACATCATTATGACAGGTATGCTTTTGTGAATAAAAAATGCTTCAGCTGATTTTTGAAAATGGAAATTGTTGGGGCAGATCTTATTTTATATGGGATTTCGTTCCATACCTGGGGACCAAAGAACAAAAAGGAACGCTCGCCGTATGTTTTGTAGTTTTGTTTTGGAGTTTTAAGAATTAGATTGTCAGAGGCTGATCTAAGGGCTCTAGGTGGATTATATAATTCCAGGAATGTTTTAAGATAAAAAGGTGCACTATCATTTATACATTTAAAACATAGAACGGCAGTTTTGTATTTAATCCTTTCTTTTATTGGCAGCCAGTTTAATACATATCATCGTCAGAATCCCATTCCATGTTCCACTCAAGGTAGTCATAGTCCTCGTCTTTACCACTAATTTAGAAAGATCTTCAAATAATCTTCAAATAATCAATAATGTTCTGCATAGCAAACACAGTTTCCCATGAGCATTTTGTCCCAAATGGGCCAGGTTGGAGACAAGGGTGTACCGGTGGCTAGGAATACAGGTAATTTTGGTGCCAACCTGTGGCTAAGGCTCGAAGAGTTTAATAAGTTTTCATAACAGAAACTCAAGATTAGTTGAAGCAACACGTGGCTAAAGAAATAACAAACTCTAAATCAGTCACACATCATCAAGTTTCTGGGTTGGGAAAAACAATATCAGTGGAAAACACATCTAATAAAGAGAAGAGAAACAAATTGCTGGTGGTTAGACATAAAAGGGGCACCCAACCATAGCTGCACCGTATGTTTAAATCATATTTCCTGTGGACAATTTTTGAGACTTCATAACTTCCAACTGAGATCTCCAAGGACATTGAAATGTTGAACTGGAGATGAAACCAGTCAAGTTCTAACACAGCTGTTATGTTTCTCTGAGCGTGAAACTTCATGAAATAAATGGTCATCTAGAAACGCACAGCAAATGTATATCACCTCATCTTGTACCTTTTTCAACTCATAAGAGAATTTATTAGTGTATTTCTTGTTGTTATATTATGCAACAACAGCTGGGCTCTCGACCTTGCAGCTTGGCCTTTAATAATGTTAATTAAACAGACCTACTAAAAGGGTGAACCAAAAATTATTAGAGCTGCAAGGTTTGTAATTTTCTGCGGCAAGATAGAGCACAGAATCAATCTCACATGAACATAACCCATGAAGAAAGTAAACCTAAATTATTTTATTATTAACACTACCAATACCATGACATGGAACTAGCAATGATGTTACCAAGCAACTGTTACTCTTTCAAATTTCCCTCATTCAGAGAATCAAGCTATAAGAAAAATAATATAAAGTCAAAATAGTCCAGGACAGCCGCCCACTGTCGAGGAGTAAAGTGTTTGTCTTAAACAAGGGGGCGTCTTGGACAAAACCGTTATGATGTTAAAAAAAAGAAAAAGGGGAGTGAAAAGGGGTAGTTGTTTTTTGGGTTTTAGTAGAGGTTTTACGACGTTCGCAATTGCATAAGGTCATATGAGCGCCACAAGATTGGAGGGATTACAAGAGCATAACTAACATAAAAAAGAAAAAGGGAGATAAGGAAGATAGATTTTTAATAGGAAAGAAGAAGCAAACCACACCAGAGCACCCACCAACCACCCACAAAGGCTTGGCTGCACCACTGTCATTTAACATGCATTCATATTTGACCTCTCCATTGGACTTACATTCTTTATTTCTTCATTATTCTCAGGTTCAAAATACAGTTCTGGCTGACATGAGTATGTAGTTGCCCAGTTGGTGAACTGCCTACCTGACTTGCCGAGGGTCTGTGGGTCAAAAAATTTTTTTTTTAAATATTAAAGACAGATTAAGTTCTAAAGCCACAAATAGAGAAAAAATATTCTTCTTCTTTCGTAAAATTGTTTTAAGCTAGTTGAATTTAAAACCAAATGTTCTTTCCGCTTGAACCGGCTGGGCGGAACACAGAAAGTATGCAGAAAAGATGCCATCTCTCAGCAACAGAGAGGTTGTGGCTTATGAGAAGCATCCCACCTGCACGTGTGTGTGTGTTTGCGTGTGTGTGCGTGTGTGTGTGTATGTGTGTGTGTTTGTGTGTGTGTGTGTTTTTGTGTGTGTGTGTGTTTGGGTGTTTGTATGTGTGTGGGTGGGTGTGTGTATGTGTGTGGGTGGGTGTGTGTATGTGTGTGTGGGGGGGAGAGGGTGTATGTAAGTGTGTGGGAGTGTGTGGGTGGGCGAGTGAGTGGGTGAGTGAGAGAGCGAGTGGATGAGTCAGTGAGTCAGTGAGTGGGAGGGTAGGTTGGGGTATTACACCCCCTATTCACAGTCTGTAACCCCTAGCCCATTATGGAGGATGGAAAGGGGGGGAGAGAGAGAGAGAGAGAGAGAGAGAGAGAGAGAGAGAGAGAGAGAGAAGAGAGGGGGGGGGGAGAGCGAGCAAGATCATTAAAATGATATTATAGCACTTACACTTATCTCCCAAAATATACATCAGGGTAAGTACTTCATTTGTCTACAAAACCATGCTTTGTCCTGAGTCCCATTCTCTGTGATGCACAATTGCATCATACATCATGTCATAATAAATTTAAGCGAACATTAAAAAAAAAAAAAAACTTGTGCAGGATTCAAAGTGGATTAATAAAAGCAATCAGCCAAAAGTTTTATATACTAATAATACTAATATCAGCGAGGAAACAATTTTAAAGAAAAAGTTCAATTGGCAGCTACGGTCCACACAGTTACCATTTAAAACAGAAATAACAAAAAAGGAACAAATGTTTTATCTCCACCACTTTTGTTGAGCACGAAATGAAATATCTGGTGTGAAATATTCAGTAAAGAATAAAATATCAACAGTCCTTCAGCATAGAATATTCATCGTGCTTTTGACTGTTTTTACCACAATCATTATAGTTGTGAAGGAGTGGTAGTACATGTAATACTTATCTAGGCAAATAGACAGGATCACAGAAATAATGAAAAGAAGTCACAGGAGCAGACCATAGCAGAAAAGCCCATTAAGAATCTACTTATCAAGTATTTTCCCCTCAAACCACCTCCCCCCCTCCCTCCTCGTTCTGAATTCTTTTGTTGCTAGCCAAGAATTTTTTAAATTTTGACTGAGATTTTTTTTAAAAAGGAAACCAAACATCTGTTTAGAGGCTACAAATGCAAGAGCATGAGTCATAGACAGCTTATTCACACAAAGAGAAGAAGCTCAACATCTGTCACATGAAAAAACTTGAAAAGATTCTCATCATCATAAAAGAAAAGACACGATTACCAAAAACAGAGGAACTGGAAAGCCTTTCAATATACAGCAGTTAAGACTACATTTCCACATTATGTCGATAAAACAGGACATTCTAAAGACAAACAATTTGATATTTTCAAGAAATGAAAAAGAGATTAAATCAAGGCTTACCCGAATATCAAAATTTGACATTTTTGCGTGAATTTGACCACCACTTCAACCTAACAAAGCAACCCTTGGAGTCAGCAATATCCTGTGGAAATACAAAGAAAAAGATTTTTTTCAAGATCTCGTCAGCAGCAAAGCCCTCAGGTAGTTTCACAATACTGTCACGGTTATTTGCACATAACGTTATTTCTCTTGAATCAAAAAACTTTTTGGTTGTGATGCCTTGGAGAGGTAAGCACCAAAAGTACAACTAATGACAAAGTTGGTGCTGTATCGAACTATATGCATCAGTGTCTGTGGTGTAGCAGTTATATAAGCACTTTTGTTTTAGTAGAGGCTTTACAGCGCTCATAAGGTCATATGAGCACCAGAAGATTAGAGGTGTTACAAGAGAGTAACGAACATAAAAAAGGAAGGGAGATATGTTTCATAGTAGCAAGCCACACCAGAGCACCCGCCAACCACCCACTATATAGGCACTTTGCTGTCGCTCGTCACATAAGATCAATCGGGTGAAAAGTAGCCGTGCTACACTGTCTTCTATTCAATGTCACTTTTATCATCATTATACCTTACCTTGTGATAGTGACATGAGACTGTTACTACAGTGGCATGTTGTAGACTATACAATAAACAAGGCACAGGATTACCATATTGAATAGGTGACAGCTGATATTACCCCCCCCCCCTTTTTTTTTGTAGGTGTTTTACGTCACTTGCAACACAATAAGGTCATGTAAGTGCTGAAGATTAGAGGGGTTACAAAAGAGTAACAAACACAAAAAAGAAGGAGGGGAGGAAGGATGAAAGATGTTTGATAGGAAAGAAGGAGCAAACCACACCAGAGCACCCTCCAACCACCCACCATTATGCTCTCAACAAACTAAAACAAAATATGAACTGAAAGGACTGGAATACGTGAACACTGCGTAGAAAAAAAATCTGAAAAGTTAGATTCACAAAATTTTCGCGTTGATCTTTGTGTAAACAAATTTATTTCACGCATCACGAGTTCCAACAAATGTTTTTATAGAGAGGTATCTAAAATAGCTCAGGTATATTATCAACCCTTTATACAAGTTTACAGCTGACACAACCGGCAGTAAATTAGCTTTTAACCCTATCCGTACGCCCTGGGGTCATTTTGTACTTCCGGGGTTGTATTCTTCACATTTTAGAATACATCAAGAGCGAAGATCTCTTTGAAACTTTCAGTATTTCTCAAAAAATCATTTTGACAGACTGCAAAGCGTACGGATTAACGAGTAAATTTCCTCTTTGGAAAGTGGGGGCACCGAGTTCCCCACGTCGTATGGATACGAATATAGTAAAACACGACGTATGGAGAGGGCTACAGCACAAAACCCAGTTTAAGTAAGAGTTTTACAGCACTTGCAATCCAATAATTAAAAGGTCATAAGTGCCGAAGAATTAGAGGTCGTACAAGAGAGTAACAAACACAAAAAAGGAGGAGATAAGTAAAAGAACGTTAGATGTTTGATAGGAAAGATAAGGAGCCAACTACATCAGAGCACCTGCCAAACACCCACTGAACAAAACTGATTTGCCATCAGTTCCATATAATAAAGGATTGAAGACTCCATGAAGCAGTTAAAGAACATTTTTATAAAATTTAAACAGTTCCCTGAAAACAATAATGAGGCAGAGAATAAAATGAGAAAAGATAGCGAGCGGGACAGATGAGAGAGAGTACCGGTCAGAGAGGATACAGATGAAATCATTGAGACTGAGACAAAGACAATTAGGGAGGTAAAGATGACAAAACAGGAGGAAACAGAATGGAGGGAGAGAGAGAGGGATAAGGCGTATATGACAGAGAAAGACAGCAGACATGGGCAGACAGACAGGCAGAAGGGAAGGGAGAGGGAGCAAGGGGTGGAACACACACATAGACCAAGAGAGAGAGAGAGAGAGAGAGAGAGAGAGAGAGAGAGAGAGAGACAGAAAGAGAGAGGGAGAGGGAGAGAGACAGAGACGGAGAGAGACAGAGAGAGAGGGAGAGGGAGGGAGAGAGAAAGAGAGAGGGAGAGGGAGGGAGAGAGAAAGAGAGAGAGA